TTGGTTTTAAATAAAAATCTTAATTAAATTGGTACCAGCCAAAAAAGAAACCTATTTTAATAAAGGAAGAGGAAATTGCATAATATTTTAATGTTGTCAATCACTGCAAAACTAACAACTTCTGAAAATTAAATTTTAAAAATAATTTATAAATCACTTTCAAAATTTAGTTTTCTCAAGATATTCAACACACTTTCAAAAGTTAAATTCTGGAAGTTACAATAAAATAGTGGTATGAATAACAAAAAAGGGTGACGCAAAAAGAAATATTTGATAACTAGACGCATGGGCAAAACTGAAGCTCGGTGCTCCACTTACAAAATTGTTAAAATAATTTACGTTCATAATTATAACAGTTTAATCTTACAATTGAATTCAGAGTGACAAATTGAATATTAATTAATAGAGCCAAGAAACCTTTTATTCCCAACCATGCTTTTTCTCCATGGTTCCATTGTCTATCAAAATTTAGTTATGCACAAAATGTCAACTTAAATATATGTTTCTAGAACAGATAAAGTTGAAGAAGCTTTTAATTCATGCCCCTTAATTTGTATGCAATTCTTCCTAATGATTTGTTAAAATATCACCTTGAAAAAGAGTAGCATGCTGTTGAAGACCTGTTTCAAGGATAGCCTTGGAGTTTGGAACACTATAAACTGAATTCCACCAGGTCTGGCAAATCTTAAATACAATGATACTATTATTACACGTTCTATTGTGAAAGCCTTGATTCTTGAAAACTTTACCAAATAAGGTGATTTTGTGATTGAAGGTTGCATGCATGAATGTCCATGACGATGCCTTTGCATGTTACATATAAACAATTTATGGCTGATTACACGAAATTAAACAAAAGCAATGGATTACTAGTTTTTCTTATTTGCATGACAACTTAGAATTACATAAAACTATTTACAGAACCATATTAAACTAATTCAATCTTCTACGATTGGCATGGGTTCTGTTGGTTGTTCTTTTCATTCTAATATTAAAACACACCTTCAACAAGTCTCGCAATGCATTCAGGTTTTCCAGTCAAGAATACATAATATCCCAAGAGCATTCCAAATATCATCCCACATGCATATCCCAGTACTACTGCTTTCCAACCAAATCCTGATTCTTCATGATCAAGTGCTGAATGAGGTATCCATTCTTCATCTTTATTACATGACTTTGACAAAGGGATTCCACATAGCATCAAATTCCCTTCGTAAGAATCATTTCCAAATGTATTAAACTGTCTACCTGTAGGTATAATTCCCTCAAACTGGTTTTGTGAAAGGTTCAAGAATGAGAGAAAATTCAAATTTGTCAAAGCCATAGGAATCTCACCGGTCAACTGGTTCCATGAGAGGTCCAACCATTCCAAATTTCTCAAATTACTTAAAGATTGTGGAATGGTACCAATGATTCTATTATGTGAAAGGTTAAGCCCTTTGAGAGAATTTATTTCACCAATGACTTTTGGAATTTCTCCTTCGAACATGTTATTTGATAAATCAAGTGTTGTGAAAGTAGTTAATATCCTCACGAGCTCCACATATGAACCTTTCATTGTGACCACTATAGAATCATTATATAAACGATCGCGATTCATGTATTTCAAACCAGTTTGGCCTCCACTTGCATTTATCATTCCTTGAAAGTTCTTGATGCATGATGCTGGCAAGGAGCCACTAAATTGTTTTTGGAGACATAAAAAATTTTCAAGTTGGGAAATGGATGTTTGGTGCTGGAACAAGTGATGACACCTTGAAGTTTATTTGATCTTAAACTAAGTACCTGCAACCATTGAAAGTTTCTAGCCAACTGGGAAATGTAACCTCTATGTTATTGTCTACAAGGTCCAAAACTTGGAGTTCTGTAAAATGTGCCAAAGACTGTGGTAATTGTCCCTCCAACTGGTTTCCATTCAACTTTATAGTCTCAAGGGAATTTCCCTCAGAGAAGTTTCTAGGCATGTTTCCATAAAGTTAGTTCATTTGCACATCCAACACTGAAAGATATGAAATGTTACAAGGCATTGTGGAAACATGCCTGTCAAGTTGTTGTGAGCCAAGTTGAGTATACGGAGGGAACTCGCATTGCAAATTCCTGAAGAAATGCCTCCAGCGAAGTTGTTATTTGAGACTGAAAAGACTTGAGTGCCAAAGGGTGGAATTGGAAGATCTCCTTGGAACTTGTTAAAACTGAGATCAATAACTTGAATTTTCTTCCAAGAGAGTAAGAGCTTGTCAAGAAATTGTTTGGGAATTTTTCCCTGAATTTTGTTATTAGAAAGATCTAAATATTGCAGTTCTTGAAAATGTGCTAAGAATTTAGGAAACCTGTTAATATTACATGCCGATAAATATAAGTAGCTAAGGTTGGGTAAGATGAAGTCATCGCTGCTTGCTGTGTTAGTTGAGCGAAAACTATTGTGAGAAAGATCAAGGAACTGTAGAGATTTTAGCTTGGAAAAGCGGTGAAAGTCCACAATTCCAGTCAAGTCAGTTGATGACAAGTATAAGTCAGTAAGATTTTCGAATTCAAATATTGAATTTGGAAAATTACCTTGAAGTTTGTTATTAGAGAGAGACAAATATTTTAAGGAATAAATTGTGAATTCAATACTTGACCCTGTGAGGTAGTTGTCTCTGAGATCTAAATAATATGACAAGGAAGGCAAAGAATAACACCAATGCGGAATTGTTCCATTCAAACTGTTATAAGACAAATAAAGATATTCGAGTTTTGTAAATTTAGTGATTTTACTTGGAATAGGGCCTACTAAATTATTATGTGATAAATCTAAATAAGAAAGCTGACTTACATCAAACAATGATGATGGTATTTGGCCTCTTATTTGGTTCCTGGAAAGTACCAATCTTTCTAATTTGGTAAAGTCGCCAAACACATTTGGAATGTGGCCACTAAGGTTATTAAAAGAAAGATCAAAGTAAGTGAGATGCTTAAGGTTTGAAAGTAAAGATGGGATCGCACCATCAAATTTGTTTCTTGTAAGGCTCAAATATATTAGTTGAGTGAGGTTCCACAAAGATTGAGGAACTGGTCCATGAAATTGGCAATATGAAAGACCTAGATGGTTAAGAGATTTCAAATGGCCTATGGAATCAGGAATTTCTCCAGAGAAAGCAGTTAATGAGAGAGACAAGTACCTTAGTGGAGTACTCCAGTTTGACTTTGGCAGTTCACCTCTGAGGTTTTCATTAGATTACAACCTTAGTTCTTGAAGATTGGGTAAAAGGAATACGTCACTTGGCAAATTCCCTTGCAATTTAGTGAATGTAAGACTAAGAGATACCAATGAGGATGACAAATTTGTTAACAATGACAAAGAGCTCTTTCTGATAGAAGACATGTCCACAGCATCTAGAACAAGCTCTCTCAAAGTAGTTGCATTAAGAATGAGTTTGTTCCATGTGTATGGATCAAGTTTATTTTTCAAGTAGCTGGGATCAGGAACTATTCTCCAATCAGTACTGAGATCAAGTGATACTAATTTTGACAAGTGAGAGATTGTGGAGGGAATGTCACCACTCATAAAAGAGGATGATAAATTTAGATGTGTGAGATTCACAAGATCACCAATTCCATAATATACTGAAGACCCGGAAAAATCGTTGTAAGCAAGGTTGAGTTTTTCAAGATGGGTAAGCTTGAAAATGGTGCTATTGGGATGGAATTTACCTCTAAGATTGCTGCAGCTAAGGTCAAGACCAATCACGTGACCTGTCACGGTGTTGCACGTGACACCTTCCCACTCACAACAATCTCTTCCATTTTTCCAAGATTTTGTCTTGGAAGTAAAAATGGAACTAGGAAGCCAGGACCAAGTATGATGTGATGAAGTGTTGAGAACAAATGAGTTTTTGAAATGTAGCAAGGCAGAGTAATCATGATGGATGCACAAAGAGCAAGTGTGGGAAGGAAAATTAAGAGGTAACAAAAAAAAATATGGCAATAGAAACCACCTCATATTGAAGAAGAAATCTGAATATCTGCTTAAAAGTTTAAACTTTAAGGTAGGAAGCTAGAGAATTCTAGGATGCAACTAATTAATTGATAAATGCCAATTTATAGGCAACCCACCGTCAAAGGGTTTGAAGTGTTGCCCTCTGGAGAGGTAGCTATGCATGGTTGAAAACAAAATTCATACAACGTATGTGGAACCAAAATTCAACGTGAGATAGGTTTAGTATTTGTGCACCAATAGTTTTGTGCCGCTAATTTATTGACATATTTACAAATTATGCTATCAGTGATTTACGGACTAAACTCCCATTTTGGTTCATGAGAATATAAGTATTGATAATTACACAAAAAAAAATAAAAATAAGGCGAATAATGTTATATAAAGTCTGGATAAAAGTGAAAATTTATAAGGCTAAGAACTAAATTTACCAATGCTTATAATTTCAAGCACTGGAATTATGATTTGGTTGTAATTCATTACTTATGAGATTACTTGACCTCCAATCCTATAGTTTCATTCTGACTCACAAGGCGAAAAAAGAGTGCTGCTTGAAATACGGAATAGTCAAGGTATCCTATCATGTTAGAATTGGATTAGGTATGATGTTGAACTCTAGCGAGTGAGTTTTGGACTTTTCAATCATATGTAGCTCTCACGTAGGACAACTTTTAGTGCTTTGTTGATCTGGCAATAATTTTCTTTCATTAGCATGGAGTAAAGAACTCCATCATGTAAGACTTAGATGATATGCAATTCAACTCTAGCAAGGGAAACTTGGACTTCTTCAACTATACGGTATATATCACGTAAGTAAGAAGACTTCTGCGGGTTGCAGCTTTACTTTTCTGACAAGAATATTCATTTATTATCATGCACAAAGAAAGTTTGTCGTAAAATATTGGTAGAACTGAAGAAAATAAAAACATGCAGTATCCAACACGGGGAGACTGAGTAATGAAACTGTATGTAGTACTCGGATTTGACGGTTGTTGATGGTCTGACAAGTATATTTCTATGTGCAATGAAGTAAATTCTTAAGTCCTATTACTCTTGAGAAGTGTATTCTTAATTTTGTACATTGATCAATAAGCTGGACTACGGCACAAAATTGAAGTTTAATAACAAAAACTACTAATTCTAACTCAGTACTACTTAATAAAATTAAGACTAAGCAGACTTTACCTTCTCCACGAGATTATATCTGACAATTTTTTAGCTTTTTTTTCCTAAATAAGATTTGAATAGGCACCAGAAAAATCTTATTCAAAACAGGAAATTGCACAATATCTTTCAGTTAGCTAATCACTATTTCGTAAAACATTTGCATAACAAATCCACTTGCTTGTGGTTTCTTCACCAATGTTTATAAAAGAATTAGTGATGTAAAGCAGCAGACATTTTCCATACAGAAGTAGAAAAATAAATCATGATTTCGTACATAATGAATGCCAATTGCAACAACAATTAAATATATCCGCAGCTGGTCTTCCATAGTAGAACATACAGACGTTTCTGCTCAACAATCTCTCTTCCTGTTACTTTTAATTTCTATTCAACGCCCAGATATCAAAATCCTTCACAAGTTCCCGTTAAGATGAACATGTCAGAATTTAGCCCTTTTGATGAACAGCAATCTGGTGTATGTCCATGTCCTTCAACATCACAGAACGCCCACAGGAATCACAGGGGGCAGTCCTAGAACCACAAATACTCTCATGCTCAGATAATCCTCTTAATCTGTCACGTACATCCATGGCAGTACTCCCAGCTTGAACCATATCACCACAAAACCGGCATGTAATTAGACGCAGGGGGCAAACTGAAGCTTGATGCTCCACCTACCAAAGCAGTTAAAATAATTCACTCAAAATAGCCCAATTTATAATAATTTGCATATCTTTTATATGAATTCGAATTGCCAGATCTCCAAAAGGACATTTTTAACGGGATATTTATAACATGATGATAACAAGAAAAGGACATTTTTATCAGGCATTAACCTTAATCTCCAAAATTTATATGTTATACCCTAAAGAAGGAAAGAAACAAACAAAGAAGGGAGGAAGGAGAAAGGGAGAAAGAAAAAGAAAGAAAGAAGAGAGAGAGAGAGAAACACACTACTAGCAAGAAGGAAGCAAGCAAAAATCTCAATAAAAAAAAATTATATTGTAATACCGTAAAGAAAGAAAGGGCAAAAGAAAGAAAGAAAGAAAGAAAGAAAGAAAGAGGAAGAAAGAAGGAAACAAGGAGAAAAAAAAAAGGAGGGAGGGAGGGAAAAAGAGAAAGGAAGAAAAACACACACAGAATATTAGCAAGAGGGAAGAAAGTTAACTTCTCAATAAAAAAATTATATTGTAATACCCTAAAGAAAGAAAGTAGGAAGGAAAGAAGACAGACAGAAAGCAAGAGAGAGAGAGAGAAAGAACACACAATACTAGCAAGAAAGGGCAGGAGACATGCAGCTTACCATTTTCTCTTTCTGAAGGAAGAAAGAAGGAAAGAGAGAGAGAGAAGGAAACAAAAAAAAAAAAAAAAAACACAATCTTAGCACACACAATACTAGCAAGAAGGAAGAAAGCACAATCTCAATAAAACAATTTACATTGTAATAATACCCTGAAGAAAGAAAAAAAGGAGGAAGGGAGGGAAAGAGAAATAAAAGAAAACACACAAAACTAGCAAGAAAGAAGAGAGCAAAAATCTCAGAAGACATAGAAAGCAAAAATATCAATAAAAAAATTATATTGTAATACCCTAAAGTAGGAAGGAAAGAAGAATGAAGGAGCAAGGAAAAAGGACACATACAGATATATATATATATATATATATATATAGAGAGAGAGAGAGAGAGAGAGAGAGAGAACACACAATACTAGTAACAAGGGCAAGAGGCATGCAACTCACCATTTGCTCTTTCTCAAGGATTATTCCACACGGGCAGTGAAGTGGCTCGTGAAAAACTTTCATGTGCTTTTCTAATTCTACCTGCTGAAAAGCCTGACCACACCTGTCACAGTGAATGTGGTTCTTAGACTCCTCTATCCTAAGAACAACTCCACAGCCTGCACGCTGACAGACAACATTGTGCCTGCTACAATAAGCTTCATGCAGTGCAATAGTCGTAGTGGGTATATAATGCTTGCAATTCCTGCATTGTTCAGTATCCATTTCTATAGATGACATGGAAGATGATGCTTGCTGACCAACTTTTTGGTTGAAATTATCCTGAATCATGATTGATATTTTGTACTTAGTCATTCCCTTGAAGCCATATATACCAACGCTGTAAGTCCCAGCACCCAAGTTTTGATCTTTTGAGCTAAGAATCAAAGTCTTTGAGCCAATATCATGAGAAGACCACTCATGCTGGTGTCTTGTAGGAAATAAGAGAGGATGTCTAGAGATGAAGAGATCTGTGTCCCCCCCATCTGTCTCGGATTCTAATTTTACCTCAATACAAGAATTCCCAGTAGAGATTTTCTCCCATGCGGCATTGTCTATAGAAAATTTGTAATACACAAACTTTCCTTCTTCTACTGTTCCAATTTGTGACATTCCAAATACAACTGGCACTAAAACATGCTGATCTGTCTTTTCTGAGGACGTATCAGGATCAACTATGTCAACTTCAATATCTGTTTCTAAAACAGATACACTTGAAGAAGGTTTTAACTCAAGCACCCTTAATTTGTATGCAAGTTCTCCATAGTTTACAGTTAAAATGTCATCTTGAGAAAGAGTAGCATGCTGCCGAAGACATGTTTCAAGGATAGCCTTATGATTTGGCAAGTCAGAAAATCCTACTCTTTCAGGTTGAAGTTTAGCATATGTCCCTTTAGGAAGCCAAACATAGCGCACTTCAATTAATGGAGATATTGTAGTGCCTTCAGAAAATAAATTATTCCATACATGAGGAGGAAGACCCACATAACCTTCATCAGCAGTGAATTCTAAAACTCCTGAATGGGTGGTCCCCTGATTCTCTTTATCTGTACTTTTGATGCTTGAAGAGCTTTCCTCTTGAACTGATGACAACTGAAAGTATAAGGGTCCCTTGTCAAAAGCACCCTGATCAGACAGTTCTGTGAAGCAAGAAGGAGGCAGTTTGATCTTATCTCCACCACCTTGATATGGTACAGCTTCTAGTAATCTATAAAACACAATTCCTCTGCCAGCAAGTAGGTTTTCTTGCATCTCTTGGTCAGCCTGATTTGAGCAAGGTAAATGAAGGGAATAATTCATTCAGTATTTTCACATTAAGAACTTAAACATAAAAGGAAGTATTTGCAGCCACTAATTTTATTCAGGAAGGTATGGCAAACATTTGTATATATAGATTAGCAAGTTTATTTTCACCAGTAGTATGATTAAATATTACAAGACCAATTATCATTTTTGAAAAAACCACACCAGCTGTTTGGTCCTTTGTACTATTGCAACTGATTGTCACAGAATACAGACTAAAAACCATTCATGGACATGTACTTGATAGCTTAATCTTTTTGGGCGATGATTATTCACATTGGTAGAGTATTGAGTCACTACTCTGTGACCAACTGGTCAAGAGTTCCATGATTGATAATGCGCCATTATTCCAGTCAAATTATATTCAAGTACAAGATAAGGGTGGCCTATGCCTTCTACCTCAAAAGGATTATTACTTGACGGGGCATGTTAGAGATTAAAAACCCTCCTCTACGTCACCACCTAAGAGTCAAGCTTTTGTGTGAAATGGTTGTTTAATATCTACTAGCTCTTTCTTAATATACTACTTTTGAATTCAAGTGCTTCCACTAGTAATGGGCAGAGAGGAATGCAGTATGAGCTATTTTGAATAGTCCAAGATTAGAATTTTTAATGAATATATTTGTTGAATCACATTTTTACACAAGATAAAAAAACCGTTACAACAACTATATAATGTAAAAGGGAACAAAAGTTATTCACCATAAAAAATGTTACAAAAGTAGTAAATCAGGGAACATAAAATCAACGGTGAGTCTGTATAGTTATCAAAAACATGAAAAGGGGAAACTTGATTACACTTACACAACAAGGACAAACTGAAGACATAAGGATAAGTTTGTTCAACGAGATATAATAATACTAGAGCATGACCTAACAACAACTGACATGAACATGATCTGATCCTTGCAAAAGACAAGCAGAATAAATTTGAACAGCCATCAACCAAAAAGGAAAAAAAAAAGGTAGAAGTTGGAAAGGGTAAAAGGAGTAGTACAAGATATGTCATTAACTTCACGTATCAGATTGTCCAAACCTACCTATATTTCTTCAAAGTTAATATCTCTAAGGAACAATATAATAATCTATAGTTGTACATATCTAATCCTCAACAAATTGAAAAGAGGGAAATCAACCTGATGAACCCAATGATCCCATAAAAGATTACCCTTTAGAAAATAACATGATGCAGATGAAACGGGTTTGATAGTAAGGGAAAGAGTGAAAAGAGGGTACCTTGAGTTGGGCTTCGGCTGCATCAATACGACGAGATCTTTGAACAGCTTCGATGGCTTCCCTTTGCTTATGAGCCTCTTCTTTGGCTTTTTTTTCCTTTTGCAGTTTCAATCTCGCTTTCTCCTTCCTCTCTCTCTGCTCTTTCTCTAGCTTCTCTCTAGCTCTTCTCAGTTCAAAATCCATCTCCCACTCTCTCTCTCTCTGTATATTGTGTTCGTGTTGATTAAAAAAAGGAGTTGCAATTTGTGAATCAATCGACGAATGATATTTGAAAGCAGAGGTTGTTTCCTTTTAATGTTAGTTGGCTGGTTGGCTTCGGAGATGTATTTCTTCCAGAAAAGTCTGGGCCTTTCCTTTGAAGCCAAAATTTTTTATATTTATTAAACATAAAATTTCGATTTTCCTTCCGTTTGGTGATGGAAAAAACGAAAATTACTTTTGTATCCTTGACTTTATTTTTTCATATTTAAAATTTAAAATATTAACATATTTATGGTCTAATTTCTTTTGTCACATTTATCAATAAACTTATTCTTGTTTAGTGGATATGAGATTTAGGTAAGAATAAAATATATAAGATAAGAATAAAAAATTGTTTATATTATCATATATTTAAAATATATTAAGATAAAAATTTAATAATATTATAGAGATAAAATTTATCTGTCTTATTAATTAAAATATTAGAAATAAGATAAAATAAAAATATTCTCTTATCATTTTATCAAATATAATTAAGTGTATATTAAATTTGAATATTCACTTTTAAATCAGATTACATTAAGGTTCATTATCTTTTAAGTAAAGTAATGACTTGCATAAGATATTTTACACCTTTTTTTATTATATTTTTAATTTTTCTTAAATAATATTACTTAAATTCAGTAGATCACGTATATCAAATTAATTGACATAATGATTATATCTTAATTTAAATAATTTTTTTCATTTTAAAAATTTATATGTTGGATTTTATTCCAAAAATTATTATTTATTTACAAATAAAAAATTATTAAATAGTAACATTAAATTTGTTAATATAATCTTAATTGGTTTAATAAAATTAAATTGTTACTTATCTTTATAGTAAAAGTATTTTTTAAAACAAAATGAAATTATATTAAAAAAACAAAAAGGCATTGCATCATGAGTACAGGATGTATATCCAAACATGTAACATGGAAGTTTATACTAATAGTTATATGACATATTATATTTTTGCATAGCATAAACAGGATTATCTAAAACATATGGGGGCTTAGTGGAAATTGAGTGACCTTTCTGAAGCTGGGTCTTCCACTTTTCCATCATCCAAAGTGGGAACAAAACTCCCTCATAAAATAAAAATAAAAGAATTTAAATCCACTTTCTTGGACCTTTGTCACATGTAAGGGAATTTCTTGGGCACTCTCTTTCTTTTGGCACCTTTCAACGAATTATCAAATATTAAAACCACAGCCAATATTTTACACTAAACATCTAAATAAAAAAAAACAACAAAATAATTTTAAATGTATTCACTATTTATCTAATTTTTATATTTGAATGACATATTAAGTCTTAATAATATAAATTAAAAATAAAAATAGATTAAACTTTGAATAAATAAGTCTAATTTATTTAATAATTTTAAAACTTAAATCTATTATCTGTTATAATTTTTTTATTAAATTTAACCTGACTTTTGTAAAAAATCTATTTTTGGTAAATTAATCTTTTTAATAGCTTATAAATTATTAAACTATTTAAATAGATATATCTTTATAAAAATCATAAAATTTATATCTAAATAAATTATAAAAAAATAATTCAACACTTTGAATATGTACAATGAAATAACATATTTTTATTTTATTAAAATATATAATTAAACTAATACAAATGCAAATCAACTTTGTGCACAGGTCAAATAATAATAACACAAAAAATTTAAATTAGTCTCTTTAAAAATAAATTTTCTTTAACTCTAATAAAAAAAGACTAGATCTATGATTTAAGATTTTATTTATTTTAAAATTTAACTTATTTAATATAACATTATATTATAATTTTAATATGAAATTATTTAATATATTATTATAAATTTTAAATAAATTATTTTAATAGACTTAATAATTTTTTTTAAACTTAAATTTGACCTATTTAATTAATTAAATTTTTAAAAAAATTTAAATTAAGTCTATTATTTAAATAAGTTAAGTTGAATTAAACTTTAAAAAATTAGGTCATAGACCCTTTCAGATAATCTAATCTCTTTACATCCCTAATTCTAACAAAAAAAAATCATTTTAATAGATAAAATTTTTATAATGATTATTTTTTTTCATTCTCTAAGCCTCAAACTGAAAATGCTAAAAGAAAACTAAATTCCTTTTTACTTGATACTGGGAACTTATAGTTAAGGAACAGGTAAACTTTGCTTTTGAATTTGATTTGTGCATTATTTGATTCAAAAGAAAAAGAAAAGGCAAAGCAAAAAATTTAATAAAAGAAAAAGGAAGTAAAAATATAATAGAGAAGGGAAAATTTATTTGATTCATAAGAAAAAAATATTAATATATACTTAAAATAATAAAATGAAATTATTTACTCGATTCATTTATTTTTCTCCTCCAATTCATCATATTATCAGTAAACTAAATTTAATTAACAATGAATTTTAAGGTCTTCCCGTACCTTTCATTTCTCTCCACCGTTTAAATACCAAGTTAAGGATAAAGAGAAAAGAAAGAATATTTTTTTCTAAAAGTTACAATTAATTTAGAATTATTAAAAATGGAAAAAATTCAATTGCAGAATATATTTTTTTTACAAAAATTGACATCGAAATGCAGAAAGAGTTTAATCTCCTTCTCATCTCTTCATTTATTCTTTAAAACTCCTTTTTCACTCCATTCCAACTTAACAAACAAAACTTTAAGGCCAATAGTTTTTAATTATATATTCATCTCCGCTGTTTATTAAAATAAAATTACTTAATCGCGGCAATTTTCTCATCAACGTTTGCAAACTGCCCATGCCTGTAACAATCCTTTCTGAACACGATTTACATTACTCAAAGCGAGTGGATTACTATTACTAATTTACTGTTGAAGTTACGAATCAATTAAAACTCAAAAAACGAGGAAAAAGAGGATCAAAGTGGGACACTGTGTCTAATTGGTGGTTCTTGGATCAAAACCCTGGGAAACGAAGAATCGAACTTAAGAGAAGATCTACAAAGAGGAGAATTGGAGTGATTCACGAGCCACTTGTCCACGCAGTCGCAATGAAAACTATGGTCACATCCCAGGAAAACCTTCAACTTCTCACCATCAACGAACGCGCTGAGGCAGATGCAGCACTCCGTTTCCTCCAATGCGCCATTCGGACTCGGCGGCGCCTGGTGGAGGATGATCGGGAGTTTCTTGATTGCGTCGGGGTCGGGTCCCTGTGGCGGCGACGGCAGCAGCGCGTGGCGTGGCTGGATTGAGTGCAGTGGCGGAATTTAGACAAAAAATTTGGAGTGTAAAATTAATTTTTTTTTTAGGTATAAATTATTTTTTTAATTAAAAAATAACAATATTTATTATTTCTTCTACTTAAAATAAATATGAAATCTAAAAAAATTATTATCTTTTATTAATCATTTCATAAAATAATTATAAAAAACTATCATTAAATATCAAAGATTACCTTGTATGAAACGAGCCAAAGTAGGTGAAGTAAATTCAAGATAAATTGCACATTTGTCTCCTATTGTATCCAAAATAGTATAATAACATAGTCCAAGCTACTTGTATAGTATCACTTGCATACGACATACCCAAAATTGTGCAATGCAAGTCAAGCAAAAAGAATGGACCAATTATGAGGAGTAATTGCATAAATTAAATATATGACATTATTATATACATAAAAATTTTTAAATGCAAGTCTAACATAAAGGTTATCATCAAAATAATATATATATCAAAAACAAAAGTTACCTTTAGTCAAAGTATTGTTTTATGCTTTTTTAATGACTTGAAATTTTCAATGTGTCATAATTAAAATTTGTTGTAATATACCTTTTAATATAGACTACCATACTATTTGCTAAAAAGTCAGCTTCATCTTATTTCTCAATTTGGTCTTGATTATTTTTATTGTAGAATTTTTTTTTTCCGTTGTAGGTGTAGAAACTATAAAAATCATGATAAGATGGAGTAATTTATCAATCAAGTAGTAAACTTCTGACTTTTTTGTTGTAGCTAAACATGTACACAACTCTTGCATTATTGATAAAATCTTCAAATTTGAATCTTGACGAGCAGAAACAATGAAATGTTGAAGTTAGAAATGCAAATTAATCTTTTTCTACTCATTGAATTCCATGGGATAATATTTATCTACAAGAGTGCAATTTTTTTCAATATTAAAAGCTTTGTAAGCATCCATAGGAACCAATGTTGAGCTTAGAGTTAATAAATCTATTGCTTGGTCATTAAATCTACAATTCAACTCTTGTAATAACTTATCAATTATAGCAAAGAATATTTTAACTCTCAAATAATGCTCCACTATAATATGATCTTTTTGGTGACGAGAGCGTCCTTTCCTTGCTACATAAGAAGCACTACATTGAGGAACCTCAATATCATATTTTTCACAAACGATGTCACATTTTTTAATAACTTATCCCAATCTTCTTCTCTCAAGTTTTTGAATAAGTGCCTTTGTAGAACAAACTAAATACATGAGATTGTTGTTACAAAGCTTGACAAAGAACATCTTTAATTCCTATAATTTCTCTCATCAAATGCAAGATAAATATAAACTCAAATGAGGTCAAACTTTTGTAAGCATTATCAGCATCCTCACGTTAAGAATAAGTAGATCCATCAATAATTATTTTTTCTAGAACAGAATAAGTTGAACCATACATGTTTATCAAGCTACAAATAGAAGAGAAATGGGAGCTCTAACGGGTATCCCCAGCTCGTTTCAAAGTACCAATTTGATTTGCCACTTTACCAGTTTCAAGCTCATCAATCTCTAACAAATATGCAATTTCATCTAACTTGGCAGCTTGTAACTCATCATGACACTTACTAGAAGAGCAAACAATATTCACAATAAAAGTCAATTTTGAAAAGAATTGATGAATTGGAATAACTTCTCTTGATGCAGCAACCAAGGCAAGTTGTAATCGCTGAGCAAAATAATGAACATAATATGCATAAGGACAATCACTTAAGAATAATGCTTGTAATCTATTCCATTCTCCTCTCATATTACTAGCACCATCATACCCTTGACCATTAGAAACATTAAGATTATGTCGGGAAAGTGTAATGCCCGAATTTTGGTAATATTAATTATC